GAGTAATGTGAGCTTGCAGCTGCTGCTTCCTTTTAACTGCTAGTGGGTGTGTGACTTGATTGGGTGGGGGCTTGGCTGTGTTCTGATTGGGTGGCGGTGTGTTCTCATTGGTTGGGGGTTTGGCTGTGTTCTGATTGGCTGGGGGTGTGTTCTGTTCAGGTGGGGGCTTGGTTGTGCTCAGGTTAGTCTTAGTTGCTGGGGGATTTGAGCTGGTGAGCTGTGATCCTGTTGTTTGGCTTCGCGTTCGGATAAGTTGCTAACCATATACATATACATACATACATACATACATACATACATACATACATACATATATATATATATATATATATATATAGACCCTAACCAAAGGTCCATATATATGTATGTATGTATGTATGTATGTATGTATGTATATGTGTGTGTGTGTGTAGATTTTCACGGGTACAGGTATGTAGGTCTAGGTGTGTTTGGGTCTTTTCCCGTGTAAGATTAAGAGTATCTCAATCTTAAGAGTATCTTGGCGACGTTTCGGCAAGGTCTCACTCGCCATCCTCAGGCTGGTGCTTTCGGCTTCGTGCCAGTGCAAGCAGTGTGTGATCGGGGCGGCGGTCCTCCTTTGAGGCGGGGGGGGGGGGGGCTGGTGTGCTGGGCTGGAAAATGCTGGCGGAGAACTAGGACGTTGGGCTATGGCTTTTCTATCCCTGCTCGTGGGTGTTCCTGCATTGGCTGACAGAGGGACAGAGGCAGGACAGGTTGGCAGATGGAAAGGAGAGTTTTTTAGGCCGGCCTCCAGTAGAGACACTTGCTGCATGTTTTAGATTTAAACATACTCAGATTCTTCTGCTCTTCTTTGAAGAGGTACAAAAGTTCTATTCTGGTTGGCGACTCCCAAATTTGGCTTGAGACCGCTGGATTTCTGAGCAGAGCCCAGGTGGGAGAACAAAAATCATCCAGTAGAATCAAGGCCTCCTGAAAGCCGGGAATTCTTGGATAGCTAGGGAGATCCCACACGGAAAAAGGAGTGCTGTGGGGTCTTCTACAGGAATTTATTTCTTACGCACAACCAGAAGTGCAGGGCTCATTGCTGACCAAGACCAGAGCTGATGTGGCTGGCCTGTCTGCATTTTCAGCCACGCGTTGCTTTTCAGCAAAGACCCTGATTCTCTCCTCCTCCCCCCTCCCCCGCCTCCTCCTCTGGGCACAAAGAGAAAAAAGGAAGGGAGAGGGAGGCAGCCCAGAGCCCCCCCTCTCCCCCCCCCTTATCCCAGAGTTTGGCTTTTGGAGTCTACGCTTCAAAACATCAGGGAGACATCCCAGGTTGCATTGTGGGGGGGGGGGGGAGTGGGAACCAGTAGAAAGTCTTTGGGGATCTGCTTTGTCCTTCCCAGCTGCTATTTAGGAATGGAAGAGGGAGGCTCCATCCTCCATGGGTGGCCCCCTTTGCTCATGGCTCTCCTGAGCCAGTTTGTCCGGTGGGATCTGCTTCTGCCAGCTGTGCCAGGGGCTGGGCGGATCCCCCTCTGGACTAGCAGGAGACCCAGCTGATTTCTGTCCTTTGCCCCGCCCTTCCCTTCCCTGACACGCACACACACACTGTGTTGATGGCCCCCTTCCTGTGCCAAAGGGCCAGGCAGGATGCAGGGGCTGCAGAGACATGTCCTGATGCTGCCTGGGGGGGTGGGGGGGCTGCCGATTGCTGGTGGAGAGGCGGGGAAGCAGCTCCGCATCTTGGCCCCTTCCAGGTCCCCTCCTGGCAAAGGTCTCTGATCTCACAGGGGCCCAGCAAGGGATGATCGAACACCCCCCCCCCTTGCAAGAGTCCTTTGATTCCTGGCCTTTGGAAAGGCAGAGCAGCTGGCTGGGGGCTGACCTTGCAGGCTAAGGGCATCTCCCAGGGCCCAGAGAGCCCTCAATGGCAGAGCTCAGGCATGGGGACTTGGAAAGGACACACATCTGGGGCTGTCAGCTCTGGCAACTGAGGGGGCTGCCTCTTCCCTGCTTTCAGGAATACGATCCGTGGAAATCCTCCGACCGGATCTGCCGGCAGCTGATCTACCACTTGACGCCCCACTCCAAATGGCATCGGTCTGGGCTGCCCCATCACAAATCCCACAGCAGGTGAGCAGGCATGGTGGGCCTCGGAAATCCTTGGTTGGGGGTTGCAGGAGCCAGGAGGACTCCGGTTTTAGAGGGCGGAAGGACAGGCGCCCAGTTCCCACAACGGAGGAAATCCAAAGGAACCAAACAAAACATTCCAAACCTATCATAATAGGACCTCATGCGATAATAGACTAGGTTACTCAGTGGCCTGGATTTCCACCTGCAACACACTGAACCACAAATTGTGCGAAGCCGGCTGGTTTCTCTAGTGTTCCTTGCAAGCAAGCATTCATGCAGGCACTGGCTTTGAACTCTTCCCATTTCAAGAATCGTGGTTACTGAAAAAAACCAGAATTGACTTAAACCATTGCTTGCAAGGACCACAGCTTAGCCAAAGCCGCCCCTCCCCCTTGTCGTTCTGCCCCTCTTCCGGCCAGGGCAAGCCCCTTCCCCAGGGCCAATCCCACCCAGAACACAACAACTGCAGCACAAGCTCCCCCCCCCTCCCCGCAAGGCAGGAGGACGGGAAACGGGATCCAGTGGGTGGAAGAGTTCAAACACGTATTTTGGGTCTAATGCCGCAATCCCCTCCCCTGCCCCAATCTTGGGCTGGAGGACCTCCGCACAAAAGTTACTCAAACTCCTTGACCGATGAGCATGGAGAAGATGGTTTGGCCAAAATAGCCAGCTCAAGCCATAGCCCTGCGGCAAACCACGGCGATGCCAGACTAGACCGGCTGATGGCAATGCCACCATGCAAACGCTGCCTTGGGTCACTTGCACCCCAAAGCCAACCAAGCAGGCCAGGTGCAGCCTTTGTGTGATGGGGCCCATTTTGTACTGTCCAGACTCTGGACAGCCCTTCCTCCTGAAGCCACTTGCTTCTCCTTTCCTTCTTCTCCTTTAGCCTGAAGAAGCAGCTCAGCCAAGAAGCCATCCATCTCTCTGGGGTCCCCCTCTCCACACGCGACATCCAGCACCTGGCCAGCTACCTGCAGGGCAGCGGGGACCACCTTCTCACCATCGACCTGAGCTTCACCGGCCTGAGGGATGAGGAGATGCGCTTCCTGGTGCCTTTCCTGCAGTCGCTGCCCAGCCTCACCCACCTCTCCCTTAACGGGAACCACTTGACCCGAGCCGCTGTGAAGGACCTCACCGACACCATGAAGGACATGGCCAAGTTCCCCTCCTTGGCCTGGATCGATCTGGGCAACAACATGGACGTCTCCTCCATGCCGCAGCCTCTGCTCGTTGGCCTGCGGAAGCGGCTCAGCCGGCAAACCACGCTGCCCACCATTTACGAGTCCTTGGACTGCACTTCTGAGGCATCCAGCGGGCCTGAGACCAGCCTGCTGGACGAGGAGGAGGAGGATTTGCAAGGGGAAGAGGGGACCCCGCCACTAGCCAAGCACCGCTTCTACCAGCAGTCGTGTGAAAGGTGACCGGACGTGGAGATGTCCTCTGGGAGACCGAAGCCACCACAGTGGAAGCTCTGATGGAAGAGATGCCGCTCCGGGCCTCCTCACCTGCCCACTTCCTTGGGCCTTTTTCCTAACCTTTCTGACTTGCTCCCCTGGCCCCGTCCTCTTCCTCCTAGTCGGGCTTTCTCACAGGCACCAAATCAGGCCAGGCACTTACCGTGATGCTGCAAAAGGAGGCCATCTGGAGATGCAGGAGGTGGGCTGTTGTGGGGAGGCGCATGGAGCAAGCAAATCCTGGGCCTGACCTTTCCCGGCTGTGCTGGGCCCACAAGTCCAGAGAGCCGTGTGAGAACGGCGCGGAAAGACTGAATGGGGGCCGAGACGGCACCGGGATGGCACAGCTCGCCTCCTCCCCCCTCCTCCTCTCTGAACAAAGGGTGGCGGAATGCGAGGCATGCCAGTGTCTGCAGCCGACATGTGACCGGTGGCACTGCAGGAACTCCAGGGGAGCCGGATGTGGGTTGCGCAGGTGTGTCTGGGGGGGCCTGCTTGAGCCTCCCTCCCCCTCCCCCACCCCCGGGTGTTTAGGCTCTTCGGGATGCTTCGTGGCCGTCTGCATTCAAACGCCTCTGTGCTTTCTGCTCTCAGTCTGTCTGGGAGGGTAGCCCTGCCTTATATGCCCTGGAGGAGACCGTGACCTGGGCAAGCCCAGTTCAGCGGGAAAGCCTCATGGTGTGTGGTCTGAGATAGTCAAGGGCTGCCCTGGAGAGCGGACGATGACACGGCTCAGCGCTTGGCTCAGCAATCGTGGGGCAGAGTTGCAGAAGCCTCTCTAAAAACTCCTCTTCAGAGGCTCCCAACCTGTTTCTTTGTAAAGGGGCGTTTCCCTCCCTTTGCTACCATTTCTCTGAAAAGGAAGATTGTGGACATTTTCCATTGTGCCTTGGTGCTCTTCTCATCCATCCAGGACAAGGAGGCTTGGGTTTAACCTCCCTTGCAAGGAAGACCAGGCCTGACGTGGGGTTCCTTCACGGAGAAAGGGAAAATCGGCTCTCCTCCATTTAATAATAATAATAGAAAAAAAAACCCCTCCAATCAATTTGGGGGATACAAACTACAGTGATGACATCTAAGCCACAGCAGAATGGCCAGTGAAGACACGAGTGGGTTGGCAGAATGCATCGCTCGATTAGGGTTTAACATCTGTGGCTCAGACTAGGAGAGAAAACGGGAGACTCCGAAGAATCTTTTAAGACAACAAAGAACTCCCTAAGAGAACTTGGGCCATGGGATGATTTGAAGCACCCAGCCTGCTCCTGGGTGGTTTAGTTTCAAAGTGTGGCCCACTTATACACGTCTTTGGCTTTCTTTCCACAAAAGCCCCTTTTGGGAACTCAGATGCAAATGAATTCTGCACCCTTCTCCCTAAAAATACAGTCCTCTAAGCCTTGGGCAGCTATTTTTGACCACCTGAAAGTCGGCTCACTTATTAGAAGTCTCTGATAGTAATTTAAGAAGAGACTGGATAACCATTTGTCTGAAATGGAATAGGGCTTCCTGCCTGAATAGGGAGCTGGACTAGAAGACCTCCAAGGTCCCTTCCAAAATTCTCTGTTCTAACCAAAGCCAAGAGGTTCTGCTTGTAAGACTTGCAGCTTCCCAGTTAAGAGGGTCTCTGGTTGAGAGACCCGCAGGCAGCAGAGGAAATAGGGCCAAATGGTTTGAGCAGGCAAGTCAGAGGGAGGCAAACTTTCTGTTCTCAATATACAATAGGACACTCTCTTGCAATGAAGTTCCCAGTTCTGGTTTTTATAACCTCTGAGACCAAACCAAGCACTTCATCCTCTACTAATCTCTCCAATCTACCATTGCATGCTCAGAGATAATTAAAATTTTACAAGCATATGAGTCAACACAAAGTACTTGCTAGATAAACTTTTTAAAGCTTTATTCTGCATTTTGCAAAGATTGAGAGAAAAAAAAATCAAAACTTAAAACATTTAAGTACGCACTAATACTTTACCATGATTTAGATTCTATGGACCTGTTTTTATTTTATGCATTACCCAGAGATGTGGGTTTACTGATTAATTGAAAATATAATAAATTATTTTAAAAATCAAACAGGACATTTTTAAGCTCATGGCCATTCTTTTAATGCTAACAAATGGTTTATTAAAAACCACTGCTAACAAATGGTTTATTAAACTTCATATAGGAAAGCTACCCTCAAAGATCGTCCTGTTAATATCACCCAAAAGGCAGGTGACTGGTTTTTAAAAAACAGCTCCTGAGTCGTGTACCATAGCTACTACAAGCAGTATGGGAACTGGCAATTAAGGTGATCATTATACACGGTTAAGTCAACAATGCACAGCAGATGCTCTCTTCCTATTTTGTAAGAAACATATTTATTAAAGTACACACAAATACAAACAGCACACTTTTGTCTTCAGCAAAGCAGGGTTTGATCCCAAGTTACCGCCGCTTCTGGAAAATGTTGCCACGTCCCATTCCTCGTCCCCTTCCTCTTGCAGCCACTAAAGAAAACAGAATACAAAACTCAAAGGACAAACACAAAGACATCCAGCCATGCTGGACTTGGTAAGGAGCCTGCCTGAGTGCACAGATTGTTCCCGAGAAGACAACAGGTAGCAACTAGTTGCTTGTGACATTTTAAAGCCAATAAAAACAAAAGCTATTTGTGGACTCCACAATAGGCAACACAAATCTCCTTCTGTCGGTCCTAGTCCTACTACACTCCACCGTTGCTGGAACCTCTCCACTTCTGGAGTTCCAGTTTGCAGCCCTTAACCTTAAGGAAGGAGGAGGGGAAGGGAGGCAGAGGATGCAAAAACTGGTCCAAGAGGCCAAAGGTGGGAACCCTCTGCCCCCCCCCACCCTGTGTCCTCTGGGCGGGGCAGGGCTCAAAATCTGCCCCCTTCCCTCAAAGCAGGTCTCCTTCTCCTCGGGGGTCCCAGCCCCTCCTAGAGCAACAGAGGGGCGGCAGGGAGGTCATGACGGGGGTGGCTTTGAACCACCTGAGATGTGATTTGGGGGCAGTTTATAAACTGATGCCAGGCTGTGTTTAACCCCCAGCCCAAACTCCATGAGGGCCAGGCGCAGAATTCGCCGCTGAGGTTCTAGGGGTTCGGTGTCATTTGTGGGAAACGGAGAAAACTCCCCCGCCCACCCAAAGAACAGAGAGGCTCCTTGGGAAGAGCTGCAGCAGGGCACCGGGGAGAGCATCTGGCCGGTCCGCTTGCGCCCCGCAAGGCTCGCCCCAGCCGCCCCCCACCCCGCCTCGAGCGGCTCCGAACCACGGGGCTAGCCGGGCACCCTCCCGCGCGCGCCCCGCCCGGTTCGGAGGCTCACCCTGGGCCTTGAGGATGGCGGCCTTGCCGCGCCCGGCGCCCGAGCCCTGGTTCTTGTTCTTCATGCTCTTCAGCATCGGCGCGTTCTTCAGCATGTCGGGCAGGATCAGGAAGCGGATCTTGCTGCCGCGGATGTAGACCTGCTCCAGCTGCGCCACGCGCCCGTCGCGGTAGGTCACGGTGATGTTGGACATCTGAGGGGAGGCAGGGAGGGAGGCGGCGGTTAGCCCCGGCCCCGAGACGCCCCGGCCCGCCCGCCCGCCCGCGACCTCGGCCCGCCGCCCTGCCTGGCAGTTCATGTTGTCCTCGGCCTCGATGAGCTTCCCGCGGTAGACCTCGCCCGTGTTGGTCTCGCAGGTGACGATGTGCCCCTCGGCCTCGTGCAGCACCTTGATCGGCACCCCGATGGACATGGCGGCCCGAGGAAGGAGGAGGAGGAGGAAGAAGAGGAGCTCCCGGCCTGCCCCGCGCGCGCGCGACGCTCTGCCCCGCCGCCTCTATGGCGCGCCGCTCTCCGCGGGAGAGGAGCGGCGCTCTCGGCCTGCCCCGAGCGCGCGCGCGGCGACGCCCCGCCCGGGCTCGGCCCCGCCAGCGCCATGAAGAGCCCGGCCGAGGAGGCCGCCGCGCCGCCCTCAGGTGGGTGTTCCGGGCTGGGGGCCTCCTCTTGCGCGGCCGGGAGAGAAGCGGCCGAGCTCCGTGGCCCCCTGCCCTTGCCCGCCCTTGCCGACGCGGCGGCCGAGGGCGCCGGGGACGCGGTGCAGCTGAAGGTGCCGGCGCTGCAGCAGCTCTACCACTGGGACTGCGGGCTGGCCTGCTCCAGGATGGCGCTGCGGTGAGTCTTCCCACGGGACTGCAACTCCCGGCATGCCCCTCCCGCCAGGCCCTGCGCCCCCCCTCCCGCCAGCTGCCCGGGGCATGCTGGGACTCGCAGTCCTCGCCCCTCAAGCCGGGGCTGGGGGGGGGGTGTCCTGTCTTCCCCTCCGCGGAGCCCCGACCCGCAGAGACGAAGCCTGGCAGACGCGGAAGAGGAGGCTGCTGAGACGAGAGCCGGCGAGGCGAGTGGGCAGCCTGTGGAAGGCCGAGCTGCTGGTCTCCGTCGCGGCTGGGACTCCAAGCGAGAGCGAAGCCCGGTGGGCCCTGTGCCCGAGAGGGAGGCCGGGGGCTTTATTACGCGTGGACCCCGCTCTGCCCAGGCCCAGCTCTTGACCTTTGTCTGTTGAGCTTCTGCCTGAGCTGAAGATGAGGGAGGGGGGAAGGGGGGGCTCTGCTTTGGCTGCCCAATCCTGGTCCCCAGAAGGAAACGGCTATTTTGACTGCAAACTGCCTTTTCCCCCCCCTTTCTGTCTCCTCCTTTTGCCTCTGATGCCCACCCTGATCTCCCCCCCAAAAAAATAATAATAATAATAATCTGACCTGGCCTCAGGTACCTGGACCTGCTGAACGACGAAGACTTCCAGAGAGCAGTCCGGGACCTCCAGCTGACCAAAAGTATCTGGACAATTGACTTGGCGTACCTGATGCGTCACTTTGGGGTGAAGCACCTGTTCTGCACCCAGACGCTGGGCGTGGACAAGGGCTACAAAAACCAGGTAGCTTGTTTGGGCGCTGCTGCTCCAGACAGACACAAAGGCGGCTCTAGAAGGACACACACTCTTAAGGGTTTGTCACCTGACATGGCTCCTTGTCTTTAGTCTTTTTATAGAAAACACTTTGACACAGAGGAGAACCGTGTAAACCAACTATTTGCCCAAGCAAAAGCCTGCAAGGTGCTGGTGGAAAAACGGTGAGCTCTTTGCGGATGATTTTCCTTCCTTCTTCTAACACACAGCGGTTTAAGCACAGCCCCCCAGCTGTTTATCCACGGGGGTCTGTTATAACCCAAACAAGCCTGCATCACTTTCCTGTGATTTTTTAGGGTGTAGTCATGAGAACTGACGGTCCTTTGGATGCAGGGATTGAAATCTTCCGCTGGGAAATAAATCTGCCTGACATGAATGGGGTGCGCTGAGCCAAAGGGTGCGGCGTGATTGAGGCTGCTTTTCTCCTCCCATTAAAAGCGCTGGGCGTCATAAAGGATGGCATTCCTGATCTGCTTCTGCCTGGACTAGGGATTCCCGTTAGCGAAAGATGATCAGCTTCGGCTGGACTGCTCTCCCTGCCACTTGCGATTCTTCCCGCACCTTCATTTCTCACAAGTTGTGGATCCCCTGCACTGGGTTGGAATGGGCGTCCCTAAGGGACACCCCAAGGCCTAGCGGGGTGGTTCACTTGGAAGGGAAGAGTTGGAGAAGGAGTGACGGTCGATTTGGTCCCCAGCCCCTCTCCTTGAGAACAGGAAGGGAAGGATGGAGAGCCCACTTAAAGGCAAAAGGTTCCATGCACAAATCCACCTATAGACAGAGCAGGTGGTTTCAAGTAACGAGCTCAAATAGAGACGTGAAGATGTTTTGGTGCAGGCCCAGGCTGGAAGGAGGCTCTTTGGTTTTGAGGGGGGGGGAGGCGGTAAGAGCAGCAGGGAGGCTGTCAGGGGCAGGGACTTGAGGAAGGGTCATGCAGACCACAGATGAGCTGCTGTTGGGACGGTGGCTCAAGGGAAGAGAGGAAAGTGCTGGGGGGATTGGAGGACAGAAAGAAAGCAGGTGGTTATTCCACCCTGGGAACTACTCGGGGTTGGACCACACCTGCCTGTTTTTTCCCTACAAAAACCCTCTGGTTTCTGCTTTTATTTTTATTTAATTCTATCCTGCCTTCATTACTTTTACAAAGAAGGTGGCAGTGTTTATAGAATAACAGAGTCGGAAGGTCATCTAGTCCAACACCCCACCCCCCACTTGCTCAAGCAAGAGACTATGCCATTTCTGCCACTTCCTCCTCTTACTTTCCCCATGACAAGCCTGTGAGGTGGGTTGGGCCAAAAGAGGGACTGACCCAAACCCACTTTTCCTGGCTGACGCAGGACTTGCACTCCTGGCCTCCTGCTTTCTTGCCTGGTGCCTTCACCACTAGACCAAACTGACTTT